AAAATAAACAAATTTTTTTTTTTTAAAAGAGGTTTTTGCTACAGGGCGCGTGCACTCGCCAGACAGACAGAGAGACAGCAAAAAATCACCCCCCAGGGGGGATGGTCACGCCGCAATCCCTTCTCCTTCATTCTTCTTCTCTCAGGATCTTGGGCACGCATGCACACGCGCCCAGTGTGAGTTTAAGCCACCGGGTCCGTGTCTCAAACCGTGGTCAACTACATGGGAGTCCAGCGACATAGCCATTACATTAACTGCTGGTCCCAAAAATAAACAAATGTTTAAAAAAAGATAAAAAGGAAACCTTGGAGTCAGCAGATGGCGTAGTGGTTAAGACACCGGACTCCCACATGGCCGACTGTGGTTCGAGTTCCAGACATGCAGGCTTGAAATGTGTATACATATATGAGTGAAACCTTTTTTAAAAAAAGGAAACTTTGTTGGCTAGTCCCCGTGATCTAGTGATTAAAGGAACTGATCTCACCAGGCTGACTGTGCAGGTCAAGTCCTAGACCTGGCAGCTCAAAAAACATGCCAGGCACCTGTACAAGTGTGCCCAAAGTCCTGACAGGATGGAGAAATGGAGAAGGGATTGCAGCGTGACCACGCCCCATTGGGAGTGCTTTTTCCCTCTTGGTCTCTCTCTCTTTCTCTAGTGAGTACATGTGCCTTCTAGCAATTAAAAGAAAAGAAAAGAAAAGAAATAAACAAAAAACAATACCTGACTGTTGCCTGGATCTCTGAGCCTTGATGACCTTGGGGTGGGGTTGGGGGTGGGGGTGTCTCCTTGGCACTTCTGGGCCATGGTGGGCTGTGTGTGGAACAGCAGGAGCAAAAGAACCACTTGGGAAGGCTGAGACATGAACTCAACATTCCGTAGTATTCGATGTGATCGTTTTCTTAGCTTGTCAAGCTTCCTCTCAGTTGTCAGAGAGGCCATTCTGCTTCCTTGAGCTCTCTTCTCATAAAGGTGATCTGATTTTGGTAGAAGGAAGTGGCTTCTCTAATTCCTTTTTCCATGTCTCCATCCATCTTCTATAGAGGTTGCATATTCACTGATAGGCATAGTTCATGTTTCCATACACCTTGAAAAGTTTCTTCTATATTTTCAACCTAGTGTATTTCTTCCTCAATCCATTTCCTCTGAGTTATTCTATTCAAACCATTTGTTACTTTCTGAAGTTGTTCTTCATTGTTCTGTATATTTTTTAAAGGTTTTTGCCATAGGACATGTCTGCTTACAAGAAAGAGACAGAGACAGTAAGAGGGAAAGTGAAAAATCACCCCCCAGGGGGTAGGGGAGAGATGTCCATGCCACAATCCCTTCTCCTCTACTTCTAGGATTTTTGGGCATGTACACACATATGGCTGGCATGATTTTCAAGCCACCGGGTCTGAGACTCAAACCACTGTTGGCCATGTGGGAGTCCAGTGCCATAACCTCCATACCACCTGCTGGCCCCATTCTGTGATGTTTTAACATGTTCCTTCATCAGTCATTTGGGATTGGAAGGATTGTTTTGCACCTTTGAGCAACTATGTCTTTGTGTAAGCTGTTGTCAGTTCATGAGATGAAGTCCACTGGGCTTACATTTCTTTCCTTTGTTGAGAAAGTCTACTGTGACTTCACGGGAAGACTTCTTCAGGTTTATTTATATATATATATATATATACACACACATATATTTATATATATATA